CATCTGAAAAAGGAGAAAAAAAATTCCTGAATTACTTTTCAGCCAGTTTCAATAACCTATTCTGCCCCACAAAACCATGTTTGGGAGAAAAAACATCCCAGGGTATTTAATTTCCCTCTTACTTGCCAGCTTCCTCTCAGTGTAATCAGGCAAACTAAGGTTAACATTAACTGGAAACCATGGTAAATACAGTAGTAAGATCTCTGCTAAAAAAATTCCTTGCAATTTGGTGATGGTGGGTGTCAATGGAAATAATAAAAATAATTTATTAAATGTGTATGCTGCCCAACTCTCAATGACTCTGGGCAGCTTACAACAATTGAACAAAGAAATTACAATAAAATCAATAAAAATCAAAGATAAAAGATCTTTATCTCAACTTATTTGATTTCAGTTCAGGAACAGAAAGAATCTTGGTGGACAATACATGCTAAAAGCTTCCACTGGGTGAATACATTTTATTGATTCAACAGAATTATTCAACAGGAATTGATACCATTGACCATGACAATCTTTTAAAGTGCCTTATTGACCTAATGTTTACAGACCTTAGAGCTGTCTGCTGAGGACCTTGGTTTTGAGTTATGGCTGCTTATTCTGACAGTCTTGTTTCGTGAAACTTCCCAGGTAATCCAGCACTTCAGAGCTTGTTGTCGTGAATATACATCATCAATTAACACTGAGATTGGATAATATTTCTGATTTAAATAATTTTCATCTAAGAATTTTGCTATAGGTGAAATATATTTACGGAGCACTCTTGGGAATTACAAGGTTTTCCTGAGTACTGATCAACCATTACTGCATTTTAACATGTCATATATAACTTTGTATTAGCTTACCTTACACCAAACATATTGTAAAGTTGGCCATATACAATTCGGTTCTTTGGATATTGCGGTGACATCAGGTATTCCTAAAATTACATGCCTGGGATTAATTCTTTACTGAATACGTTTAATGTTGTCATAATATTAATCTGAAAATTAAAATTTTGGAGAGTATATATAGATGTTTAAGAAGAATTGGGAGCCCCTTCTATGGTCTCAGTTCTGAATGCAGTGTTATAGCATATCAGTATAAATATTTGAGAGAGAATGAGGAGTTTGAATACCTTGCTAATGCCTGCTGGAATGCATGCACCCCCTTGCACTCTCATGCACCCTCCCCAACCTGCATTTCTCGTGCACCCCCTCACACCCTCCCTGACCTGCGCTGCACCTCTCATGCGCCCTCTCCAACCCACAGCTCTTGCACCCCCCTCACACCCTGACTTTGGTTGTGGGAAGCAGGCAGGAAGTTGCCTCACCCAACAACCATGGGATTCAGTTAACGACAAGAGGGACTGCTGTCACTAAGCGATGTGGTCGTGCTTTACGGACCGCATCGCTTAGCAACAGAAATTCTGGCCCCAATTGCGGTCATAAGTCAAGGACTATGCATACTTATGTCTGTCAGGTCAGTTTTAAAGCAAAGCTGCAAAGGGATGCTCAACTTTCACATACCTTTACTCCTTCAGGACTTAATATTAGTAATGAGACTCTGTGAAAAGCATTAAAACGTAAAACTGGTCCATATTTCTCAGACCTATGAATGCAAAAATGTGAGTTAGATTATATTTTTTTAGCACTTATATATTTATAAACCTTAAAACGCTAAATTACATCATATCCAAGTATTGTTTCTCCAAGAATGAGAATTTCTTCTATTCTACTTTTTATCAGTGTTTCATTTTATCAAAAGATTATTGGGCATGTTTTTTTTAAGTTAGTATTTTTATAAATTTAGATTTAAAATACCTAACGTATTTTATAAATTTGTTTGGTTTAAAATACCTAATAAATCTAAATGGAGTCTTACAACTCGAAATACAGGCAAGAAGCAACATAGATCAAAATTACTATAATTCAAAATAACTACTTTCAAGCCATGTGATTTTCTAAAAAACTTACCACTTCAGAAAGAGATCATGCATCAGTTCCTTGTTTTTCACCATTCTCCAAATGATTGGCAAGTGACCAAAGAAAAAACTGTAATATTTGAAAAAAGCCAGGATTTTAAATGTGCACAGCACAACCCAAACAGAAAAATACCATGTGATAACAGAGAGCCACTTTGGTCTAGTGGTTAAGGTACCAGGCTAGAAACCAGGGGACTGGGAGTTCTTAGCCCCGCCTTAGGCATGAAAGCCGGCTGAGTGTCTTTGGGCCAGTCACTTTCTCTCAGCCCAACTCACCTCACAGGGTTGTTGTGGAAAAAATAGGAAAAAGGAATATTAGGCATGTTCAACTGCCTTGAGTTATTTATAAAAATAATAAAGGTGGGATAAAAAATCTAAAAAAAAAGGACAAAATGGAGATTGCTACTGGGTTCCAAAAGGCAATTTCACAGTAAAATGCATAGTAAGACACACATGGTACAATTTTGTCCCACAGAAAAAGAAGGAACTGCAGGCATGCAGTTTACATGGGAAGGAACCCCAGGAAAAAGAATGTAGAGAAAGGCAAACAATAAAGCCTTAGTTAGAAGACATGAAAATGCATGCACTCCCCAGAAGTCAACAAAGAGTACAATATGTGGGTTCTGTCACCAGACAGTGGTACTTAAAAAGTAACTAGATTTGCTAAAGAAATGAATTCAAATCAGTTCTTATATGCTGGTTTTAAATCACTTCATAATCTAACAGTACAAATCGTGACGGCCCTTGCTTTATGCATAAGCAGCTCCAGGAAACTCCATGGGATTGGAACCACATTTGTTGCTTGAATTTAAAAAGAGCACTCACCTATCAGATTTGTCTGGGGTACTCCCTGCCACGGTGTTTTAAACTAGGAATCTACCATTGGGATTCTGGAAAAACCATCAGGAAGCTGTTTTTGACCAGGAGGATGGAAAAGTGAAATGAAAGCTTCTATCAGAAAACAGGGTTTATTGAAGTTACAGTGGGTAACAGTGAATGCTTCCAGAGAGAAAGCGAATAAAATAAGTATCCAACCCCAAGTCTGTCTTTTTTCTCATTAACGGATTTTCCAAGATAAGGAAAAATATAGACGAATTGGTAGAAAAATACAGGAGACTTTCAAATGAAAAACAACACTGGTTTAGCAAATATTAGCTATGGTATGCGGTATGCATGTTTGCTGTAAGTCACAGTGGTTGGATTCACACATCATACCATGCCACGGGCATTGGTTTACAAATTTCCAGGGACTAGGCTCACTCAAGAGACCAAGCAAAACCAAACAAATCTTGTAATGGCTTAGTGGACCTTTCTTCCCTGTATTTCCATACTTTGCCAGCCCAACAACCTGATTTTTCCATGGAATGCATTGGGGACTAATGGCCTTTCTATTCACCTAGTTGGGGTGGGAGCAACCGTCCCTAAATACTAACTTCCACCCACAATGCCTATCATTACAAGCGCCATCTATGCACCGACTCTGACCTGTAAACCTCATGGCTGAAAGATCTAGCCTAAGTTTTGCACTTCCCTGCTGCTGCTTCCCTGTCCTAGATCTGCAATAAGAAACCAAAAGCCAGAACTCTTTAGTGGCATTGTTGTTGGTCCTGGTAAAAATATTTATAAATTCAGAAATGCTACACTGTACAAAATTAATTCCAGACAGAACAAAAATGACTTTACTTTTTGTCCATGCAGCATTTAAAAACTCAAGGAAGGAAGGAGTAGGTACTAAAAAAAAAATCAACAACATCCAGAGGCTTCCAAGATAATTGAAATGTCATTCTATATATTTAGTTATTTTTATGATTGGAAGGAGAAATGGGCAACATCTGTTTCCTGGGTTTCAGCCCTTAGTCATAATATTTTTTGTGTAAGTGCCTTCGAGTCAGTTTTTGATTCCTGGCAACTTTGAAGTGGTTTGCCATTGCTTTCGTCCTAGGGCTGAAAGAGACTGATTGGCCCAAGGTCATCCAGCTGGCTTTGTGCCTAAGGCGGCACTGGAACTCACAATCTCCCAGTTTCTAGCCTGGTGCCTTAACCAGCACACCAAACTGGCTCCATATTAGTTATAATATAAGACTCAAAATGATCACACACAAAGCAAAAAGAAGAGTGAAACATAATCTGAACAATATACTCTGACTCTGTATATACATTAACACTTCTGTACATTTGAGGCCAGGCTAAACTATCTTCTTCCTGCCTTATCACTGCCAACATGTGAATATTGGTTACCAAAATGTGCAAAAAAAAAAAAGTGGGAGAAATGAGTGGTGGGTGCGGAAATAGAGCAACTTCTCTGATTACCCCTGCACGGGGCACTCCTATAGGGAGATCATAATGATGCAGTGATAAGCGATGCGGCTGGATCCTGCTTCTGCGTTTTCAGCCACTTAGGTGCCGGGAGCGCAACAGCGTGCAACTCCTGAATGCGGCAGCCGACCACGGGCTTCCAGCCAGGCGATCCACCTGAGGGAGCCCGCCTTCCCCAGCAAGTACCAGGAGGAGCACATTTCAAAGCACGGAGGCAGGGTCGGGGGCTGACTGCGCACCGGCCCTGCCGCCCGCAGCTTCTCTTACCTCGCCCTTGGGGCGCCGGGGATGCAATCGTATTTTACATGGACTATTTTAATGTAGCAACAGTAGAGGCCCAACATCAAAAGCGACACAACGAGCAATAGTTGCCACAAGCTCCACGTCGCTTCCATAACGGACGGCGAATCCAACGTCAGAAAACACAGGCCCAAAGCCAGCCTCCTCGCCCGCCCCCCGCTTCCCGCTCCAGGAAGGGAGCTCTGCGGGGTGGGCGGATCCACCCAGAAGAGCCTTTGCGTAACGTCACGCGGCCCGAAACTTCTAAAAGGGAGGCGCCAAAGGCGAAGATCTCGGCCTGTCCTTCAGACTCACTGTATCTGTTGTGGGCGTGGCCGCTGATCATCGCAGCTGCCCGTTAGCACTCTTGAGTGACTGTAGAAGCGCTGATTGCGGTCTGCAGCTCGATGTGCGTCTTGTTTGTTGTGTCTCTCGCGGTTTTCGTATTTTACTGCAGCTACATAAACACCGTCTACGTGAAGTATGATCACATCGCCCGCGCTCCAAAGGCGAGGTAACAAAAACTGCGGTGTAAATTCTGCAGAGCCAGCTGCTGCTTCTTTGGGGCGCCTTACCTTATTTTGCTTTCGTGTGTTACTGCTTTTTAAGTTTTACTACGGCTTGCGGCTCAATGGCCTGGGTCCTCCCTGGAAGGTTTGCATGCACTTTTATAAATAGTGGCACGCTGATACATCCTTATTCATCAGCTTACTGGAGGTGCTTATCACCTGAATTCACTATCAGTGGGAATCTTAGATTTCTCTTTATATTTTGAATTAAAGTTCCGTGAAGGTTTTATTTCTTCTTGAATATCATTGCAAATAGATCATCCTTTTATCAACACTATGATTAGATCTTTTAGAATAAAACAAGTGGGGTAGTACCTTTTCCATTTTCAATGCAGCATCCTTGCATGTTGTATCTTCTGAGTGAGCCCTCTGTTGGTGTAGCTTCCCAATTTTGATTTTTCTAACATTCAAGGAGCAAGTCCTCCTGAGTTCTGATTAATAAGATGTCTGAAGAAAGTGGTTAAGGTGGTTGCACAATTCCAACAAGTACAGTTGCTTTCAAATGTGAACCATATATATACAGTAGACAGGTCAAAACTTTTTCTGGCTATTTGGTGAAGAGGAGAGGAGGCAAGCCAGCCTGCACCTGGACATTGTTTACACAACAGACATTAGCCTCATGATATACACTCACATACTGTAACCTATGACTGTAATCTTTTTGTTAGTACACATATATCTCTAGGAGAATAGCTGTTCAATACTTGCACCCTCTGTGTCTTCCCCAAAGTTTGCCTGAAAGAGGGCCTTCCCAGATAATATAGGGTGGGGCTGCTGAAGGAGGGGAGAATTGCCTAAACTTTAGCTTGTTGTTTTAAGACTAATTGCCTTAGTCCAAAAACAGAAGTTTCCCATCTCTCTCCTCCCCCAACGTTCTCCATATCCAGTGTTCTTAAGACTCCCAGAAGGGACACTGGTAACTGTAAAGGGAAAACTTTCCTTCCCTGAACGTTGTGTTCTCTTTATAACCAAGCCATACTCTTAAATAGTTGATCATTTGCTCCCCTTTAAGGTTGATTTGTAATTTATCTGTATCCATGAATCAAAATAGAAATGAATAGCATGAGCAAAATGTAGTTGGCATCCTACTCACCAACCCTTTGATCAGTATTCTTCGTCAGCCTCAATCATATGGTCTACAAAATGCACGCAATAGTATATGTCTACAACATGGGCATTTTACAGGGTTACCAAATAAGCCATTATGGCTTATTGGGGCTTCCGGGGGAGGTATGATGAACTGAAGAAGGCTCTGCAAAAAATGGAGCCAACAACCACGGCAAAGACCAAGGAACCAGTTCCTTGGAATCTCCCCAGGTAAGAAGAGGATGAGAGATTGCCCACATATGCTCTAGATGGCTGCTCCCTGCGAGGAGACCACAGAACAGTGGTTTTCCATGGGTTTGAGTGCCAGGAGACGTTTAAGCCATCTTGCTTGCAACTGTGGCAGAGACGTTTAAAGGATACTAAGTTTGTGAACCTCACTTTCTAATCACTTTCAAAAATTACTCATTATCTACTTCTAAGCTATTAGAGACCTTTGGAATTACGAATTTGGAAATGCTGGGTGAGTCTGCCTTTAATCCTGAACAAAAGAAAACTTTAATTATAAGGTTAAGAATCTAAAGAATCTGAAATAAACAGCAAAAAGCTAAATAAGATTTTGATCTTAGAAAGTTATAAATGGACTAAGGGTCCAGATAAAATTGGAATACTGAAATTTTTACAATAAGATTTTGGAATTATTTATAAAGTGCAAAGAGCTTCTCATGGAAAATAGATCCTGTTTTGGTTTTTATAAGACACAACATAGATAAACAATTTCACAATTTCAAAAACTGGACACTAGAGGGGACTAAAGATTTTAGGTACAGGAAAGATAAACAGGCCTGCAAGATGGTTATGACAATAAAAATACTGAATATCAATAATGTCAGTAATGGTGTCGGCTTCTATAGATAGATTTTGACCAAAAGATAAGATTAAATTAAGATAAAAAGATACTGAAGAAATAACAGATGTAGAACAAATTTTATCTGACATGATAGAGATGGTATTGAAAGTGGATTTACAACTGACAGGCCAAGAGAATGACTTAGAAAAGGATGTTTTACTAGATCTACAAAAGAAACCCAAATAAATAAACCAAGAGTGACCTGGATAATTTTTTCTTACTGGATTTACAAAAGAGGATTGTTAAAACCTTGAACTCTGTGTGATGGGACAAAGAAGGAATGAAGACAGATCAAATCCTATGACAATATTTGAACGAACTAAAGGTTAAGACTGTTAGAAATAAAAGGAAGGAATATAAAGTTCATTCATTTGATCAAAGTTAAAACAAGATATGTTGTTATTTCTAGTAATCCTTTATGGACTTTCTGCTGACACCAGGACTGAAAAGATGTTTTATGGTTTATACATAAGAGACGGGATATGGGATGAACAGATAAATGTATGTAACTTTAGAGAGGGTGAAGAGTTACTAAATTTGCTTATACTTGTGATGAAGGTTGAAAGTCACTTCTTTATACAGTATATTTCTTTTTCTTTATTATATTCTTACTTTTCTCTTTCTTTTTTTCTTTTTCCTTGCACTTTTTACTTCTTCTCTCTATTCTTTTTTCTTTAAGTTTAGCTTGTATTAGATTTTACTATTATAACCAAAATTCTTAATATATATATATACATACACGTGCACACACACACACACATATACATATATCTCCATCCATCCATCTGTTATGGATTAATGTGATAGCCTCATTCATACAATATGCTAAAAAAAAA